ATGCATTATTCATTTCTCTCAAAACATATATGATTTAATTTTGTGATTGTAAATGACTGCTTAATAATCACCTACTGCGCAAAGGGGGCACAAATGAATGAATGAATGAATGAATGAATGAGGCATTTACAAATGACTGCAACATTAATATTTAATAATTTATGAATAATAAAATTACCATTAGCAATCTGTCATTTTGTTTCTAAACATAAGGGTTGTGCTAAATGCTCAATTGTAGAATTGGCTCTATTTAATGGGTGCGAAATTAAATTGAATTGAAGGTTTATCAAACCTTTTCAAATAACAAAAGGGCATTATCATTGTTAAACACAGTTACAATAAATTCAAGCAGCATACAATGAAAAAATATTTACAAATAATGCACATAAAAATAAGGTATATAAAAGTAAACTTCCAGTTATTTACAGAGTTTTAAGGTACTCTTATTTTTCAGTTGCTTTAAGGATTATTGGAATTTGAATCTGAGTGACAGGAAGTGGAATTTACCAAAAGACAATAAAAAAATCAACAAAAGCAATGCATTCTGGAAAAGAAGTGTTCTTATATCTTGAGCCACAAGGGCCCAGATCCGGTCCACACCTGACACGCGTGGAACGATGATCCGGCCCAGATCCGGTCCACACCTGACACGTGTGGAACGATGATCCGGCCCAGATCCGGTCCACACCTGACACGCGTGGAATGATGATCCGGTCCACACCTGACACGCGTGGAATGATGATCCGGCCCAGATCCGGTCCACACCTGACACGTGTGGAATGATGATCCGGCCCAGATCCGGTCCACACCTGACACGCGTGGAATGATGATCCGGTCCACACCTGACACGCGTGGAATGATGATCCGGTCCACACCTGACACGCGTGGAACGATGATCCGGCCCAGATCCGGTCCACACCTGACACGCGTGGAATGATGATCCGGCCCAGATCCGGTCCACACCTGACACGTGTGGAATGATGATCCGGCCCAGATCCGGTCCACACCTGACACGCGTGGAATGATGATCCGGCCCAGATCCGGCCCACACCTGACACGCGTGGAACGATGATCCGGCCCAGATCCGGCCCACACCTGACACGCGTGGAACGATGATCCGGCCCAGATCCGGTCCACACCTGACACGCGTGGAATGATGATCCGGCCCAGATCCTGTCCACACCTGACACGCGTGGAATGATGATCCGGCCCAGATCCGGTCCACACCTGACACGTGTGGAATGATGATCCGGCCCAGATCCGGTCCACACCTGACACGCGTGGAATAATAATCCGGCCCAGATCCGGTCCACACCTGACACGTGTGGAATAATAATCCGGCCCAGATCCGGTCCATACCTGACACGTGTGAAATAATAATCCGGCCCAGATCCGGTCCACACCTGACACGCGTGGAATGATGATCCGGCCCAGATCTGGTCCACACCTGACACGCGTGGAATGATGATCCGGCCCAGATCCGGTCCACACCTGACACGTGTGGAATGATGATCCGGCCCAGATCCGGCTCACACCTGACACGCGTGGAATGATGATCCGGCCCAGATCCGGTCCACACCTGACACGCGTGGAATGATGATCCGGTCCACACCTGACACGTGTGGAATGATGATCCGGCTCACACCTGACACGCGTGGAATGATGATCCGGCCCAGATCCGGTTCACACCTGACACGTGTGGAATAATAATCCGGCTCAGATCCCAACCACACCAGACACGCGTGGAATGATGATCCGGCCCAGATCCGGTCCACACCTGACACGCGTGGAATGATGATCCGGCCCAGATCCGGTCCACACCTGACACGCGTGGAATGATGATCCGGCCCAGATCCGGTCCACACCTGACACGCGTGGAATGATGATCCGGCCCAGATCCGGCTCACACCTGACACGTGTGGAATGATGATCCGGCCCAGATCCGGCTCACACCTGACACGCGTGGAATGATGATCCGGCCCAGATCCGGCTCACACCTGACACGCGTGGAATGATGATCCGGCCCAGATCCGGTTCACACCTGACACGTGTGGAATAATAATCCGGCTCAGATCCCAACCACACCTGACACGCGTGGAATGATGATCCGGCCCAGATCCGGTCCACACCTGACACGCGTGGAATGATGATCCGGCCCAGATCCGGTCCACACCTGACACGTGTGGAATGATGATCCGGCCCAGATCCGGCTCACACCTGACACGCGTGGAATGATGATCCGGCCCAGATCCGGTTCACACCTGACACGTGTGGAATAATAATCCGGCTCAGATCCCAACCACACCAGACACGCGTGGAATGATGATCCGGCCCAGATCCGGTCCACACCTGACACGCGTGGAATGATGATCCGGCCCAGATCCGGTCCACACCTGACACGTGTGGAATGATGATCCGGCCCAGATCCGGCTCACACCTGACACGCGTGGAATGATGATCCGGCCCAGATCCGGTCCACACCTGACACGCGTGGAATGATGATCCGGCCCAGATCCGGTCCACACCTGACACGCGTGGAATGATGATCCTGCCCAGATCCGGCTCACACCTGACACGCGTGGAATGATGATCCGGCCCCAAAAGAGACGAGCAAAAACAACTACAACTGACTTATAGACACACAACCTTAGATGAAATCAACTGCAAATAAAGAAGATATTAAATATCAAGATTTGATTGCTGTACAAGATTCCATATACAACATCACCAGCTTCACTCACTACAAACACAGTTTGACTTTATTTTTGTCATAAGACTACAAAAGTTCTTATTGAGAATTAACAGGGGTTTAGATCTAGATAATGTTGATGGTTTATTGAAAATGTTTAATTTTGAAGTCCCCATTATTATGATCAGTGTTTCAATTAGATGAGCTCTTGATCCTTGAAGTTAATTCTCTTCCAACAATTACAAAAGTGTATTATTAAAGGCACTTACCTAAAGAGATTGAAGGGGGAAAACAGAGTTGAATGCTTGTCATTTGAAGGAGTGTCATAAAATGGTTTAATCACTAGTGTTTTTATGTAATTTGATGATTTACTCAAAGGTTGAGATGTTTCTGAACTATTAATAAAGCTGCTGTGATAGAAAGATCACTGTAATGCATCATTATATGAAAAGGTGAACAGAAGTTAGGCATTGAGACACATTTAGACATCTCATCATACAAACCTCAACAATGGTGACTGAATATTCAGATAAAGATCAGCGCTGAACATCATAAAACAAGTCACAAGAAAAACAACAGCAATAATAAAAGCAAATAGTAAGAATTAAAGAAAATAATAGGACAGTTCAGTTGCATCATTTATTCATGCTGGGAGTTTTGTACTACGCTGACACCCAGCATGCATTGCAGCATGAAGCTTTTTGTTGATTGTCACCATAGTTGAGATTCATATGCTGATTGTTGATGTCTGGATGATACAGTAGTTCAAAACTTTTGTAAAATCCCTCATAATAACTGATTGCCGAAACACTGCTGGATCACAGGCTGGAATATCACAGAGTTGGTAATGCAAAATGTATTAATGGCACAACACTCTATTGATCAGTTTTTAAGATGTGATAAAATCTGATTATTTCAATCAATAGTCAGCAAACATCACCTGGTCTCATTTTCTCCTCCTTTCTTTGCTGTGGCAAATATGTTTTATAAACACACCATTACAGCAGCCAAATAAGACATGCTAATCACCATAATGGTGACTTCAAATGAAACATTTTCAATAAACCGTCAACATTATCTAGATCTAAACCCCTGTTAATTCTCAATAAGAACTTTTGCTGTCTTATGACAAAAATAAAGTCAAACTGGTCTGTATTGAGTGAAGCTGGCAATGCTGTTTTTGGAGTTGTGTAATCAGATCTTGAGAGATTTAATGTGTTTTATTCGCAGTTGATTTGATCTAAGGCTGTGGCTGGAAGTCAGTATTCCTGTGTTTCTGCTCGTCTCTATTTCTGTTCCCTTCTTTCCTTCAGTGATTCTGCTTGTTAACAGGCACTTTTTAAAGCTGATATTACCTCATACAGATTTTGTGGCTCAGATAAGGTCCGGTTCTGGTTTATTTCTTTGCTCTTGGCTGACATGTGGCTTTGCTTTGGCCCGATGGGCTTTAGATCTGGCAAACAGGAGCGGAGCGCCGGATCATCATTTCACACCTGTCAGGTGTGGGCCGGGTCTGGGCCGACACAATGTTGCTATCTGCGTCATAAGCCGATGTTGAAACTATAGGTGCCAATGGTTTCTATCTACTTAGGCTTACGATGCTTTTGGGAAATGCAGCCCAAAATGAGAACCACACTCTTCTTCTTTGACTTGTCATAAAAATGACCTTCTAACCAGCTGCAACTTGTTAAAATCAAACAAAAACATGCTTGTCTTCATACTCAGATCACTGTTTTCATATAAAATCGTAAAAACCTCCAGCCTACATCAACGGTTTATTATTCAAAGGTGATTCTTATTATAGACTGTACAAAAATTACATCAGATTATTTTAGTTCATGCACTAAGTATGAAAGACTATGAAAGATCTTAAAAACGTATTACTGAAACTAGTTTAGTAGACAAATATAAATATATGGATGAAGATGTCCATTACTTGGTACCTGTACCATGTTTCTGCCACATAACAAAACGTACTATGACACTACCATGTTTTTTTTTTTGGATTACTGTGGTATTTTGGACATACATGCCAATGATATTATTTTTTTTTGTATACAGACTTCAGTGTCATGGTGTAGGCACAGTGTAAATTGTTATTGCTATCATGGCACATTGTTGGCACCATGGGAGTGAATGCTTACCATTTTCATGTGCCATGGTATTTACTATAGTCTATACTATGGTAATACTATGGTATTACCATGGTACTTTGTAAGGGTAAAATCTACTGTGATTGGTGGTGTGCAGCGCCATGTGGTTGTTTATGGGAGTGTGTAAGTGTGTGTGTGTGTAAGTAAGTGTGTGTGAGTGAGTGAGTGTGAGTGTGTGTGTAAATGGCTCCTCCTGCCACTGAAAATCGAAATCGGAGCTCTCGGACCGGAGCTCCTGGACAGTAAAGCCTTTTCTCCGGAGCCTAGACCAAGCAGATTCTCAGTGCAATGCACTTTAGACTTTTATTTACATTTCCCGAGCTCGGCACAGTGTAAGGATACAGAGGAAAGGGCTGCAACGGTGTGTGTTTTTACTAGAAACCCGTCAAATGAACTCCGTCAGAGCGACTAACCGCAGACCCCGGCGAGTGTCGAGGCCGCGCCCGGTACCGCCGGACAGAAACAACGCAGAAAGGGGTGAATATATCTATAACAAACACCAACCTGGGCTTGATTCACACCAGTCCCTCTTCTTTTAGACGGCTTGTGTAGATTCCAGCAGCATTCGCGTGGCGATGTTGTATTTTGAGGTTATTTGTTTTAATGTTCATTCGTCAGGAAACACCGAGGCTTCTGATCCCCCCGCAGGCCGCGCTTTGTTTAACGGGGCTTGATTTGCTCTCCTGTCTATTATAAACCCCATTTAACGTGTACATTTTGACAATGTACATTTCAGAATGAACTAGTCGTGATTTAAAATCTGGTATGAATCTAAATGGTGGCACTGACGATTATATATTTGTGAGAAAAGGCAGCGGTCAGTTGTTTAACAGCCCTGTGATGGTTAGCATCTGCTGTTAGCAGCATAACAGCTAAGCCAACAAAATAATGCACAAACCTGAGTAAATACCACTATCACACCATTATTTATTAGATTATAACGTAAACTCTTTAATTCGGGCATTTGCAGTGAATACAGCTAACATAACCAGAAGTACCATGGCAATACCATGTTTTTACCATGGTATTTTTGATGTACCTTGAAGTGCTATGTAAATAAATACCGTTGTACATGAATGTGTTTTCTTTCAGTACCGTAATATACTTCCATGCACCATGGTGTTTGTACTTGTACCATGGTAATTTCCTTTACAAAGATGTACTGTGGCAGTACCATGGTAGGCTTACAGTGTCAGTGATGGTATGTCAAATGATAATACCATGGTACTTGATATTTACTATGGTACTGAAATTTGTATAATATGGATTTCCAGGGTTGTACCATGGTACGTGTCCAAGAAACTTTTGAATTACCACAGTATGTCTAAAGCCGATGGTAATCTATGGGGCTTTTTGTAAGCAAGACATTTTTTGGATGTTCCATGGTTTTAGCGGGGTATTCTTTGAGTTTCATGTAAATATCATGGTATTTATTAAGTGTGTCATAAGTATATATATTATACCATCAAATCACAATGATTACATTACAGTACTCAATTTGTATATCAAAGTTCAACACTACTGTTTTGGTTTGGGTATTTACCAAGGTAATTTATTTTTGAACTAGTGTCACGGTTGTACCATGGTATTCTTTGAAGTATGTAAACTATGAGTACCATGTACAAAAAAGTACTGTGGCAGTACCATAGTATACACATGGTACTCCAAAGTACTTCCAAGTGCACCATAGTAAATGTCCAAAAACAGGGTATTACTTTTTTGCGAGGGCTCCCTGTTTACTTTTTTCCTTGGTTTAATTAGTCAGCTGTGCTGGATGTTGTAAACTTGATGCCCTCATTAACATGTTTATTGTTGTTTGGGGTTGATTGGCTTGTTGATGAGTTGTAATGACTAGTTCACAGTTTTGTTTGACCGGCATGGTTCTAGTGTTGACAGTTGGGTCATGAACCTTTTTGATAAACAGTGTTGTGTTGATCATGTGCGTTTCATATATGCACACATGTAGTCATTGATGGGTTATTTTATGGTTATGACAGATTAAGTGCCATGGTTGTTTGACCATCCATACTCTTATGACTCCTCTAGTCCTTTTGGTCACCCAGTCCAGCAGCTGTAATAGTTTGGTAATTTGCTATGCAAATCTAACAGCAGGAACACCTTGTTTGGGATTCAGGCAATCAAACCTGAGAGCTGTTTGTACTAACCACATCTTAACTTCTAATTAGAGTCATGGGACTCGAGTGAGACTGAAATTGAAGGATGGTTTCAGCACATAGAGCAGCTCTGGCTATGTAAATGAATGGCTGCTGTCAGCTTATGGGAATGTTCTGTAATCAAGGTTGTAAGACAGGTGTTGCATTGAACACATGCTTTAAACGGCCTCCTTCATGCAGTTGTTGAGGTGGACAGCTACATTTTTAAGATGAGAATGTCATATACAATACAGAACAGTTGTCCTATACGGTATTTTCCCATTTAGTCAAGTGTTCCCTCTGCATTGCCAGATTCTTCTTACAAAATATGCCAACTATTTGCAATCTAATTGTTATTGTGACTTTATATAAAATCTATAGGTAGGGTTGTCACAGTACCAAAATTTCAGTAGTCTGACCAATATCAGTAAAATTGTGTGGGTCTTGGTACCAATATCAGGACTTAGAACAAAAACAGTATACTTAATTTATTTTCTTCAGTTTTGTCTTGTCCAATCGTCGCAATTTCCGATTCAGTCGTGCATGTAAATACGGTTGTCAATCCAGGAGCTTTGCAGTGTACTTGGCATCATGAAAAACTAAACTGGTATTCAGATTGTGAATGGGTAATAAACAGAAAGCTAAAGCACTTTAAAATCATTAAGGCCGTCAATCTCTAAAGCGCAAGATCACTGAATTCTGCACACTCTCAAAAACTTCCATTATAATAAAAAAGCTGTCTTAATTTTACAATGAATCTCTTATTTACATTGTGTTTACACTTTGTTGGTTATAATGAAAGGATTTGTGAGTGTGTGGCTAATTGTTGATCAAAACAAACACCGCTGATACAGGCAAGCAGTTATGAACACTAATGGTGCGTTCACACCGGACGCGAATAGCGCGTCAGGCGCGAGTGATTTCAATGTTAAGTCAATGCAAAGACGCGTTACGCGCGTAAAAAATTCCGAATACGCCTCATTCGCGCGTCAAGTTCGCGCGAATTGAGCGTCTGGCGCGTTAAGCGCGAATGATTTAGTTAGTGCTATTTGTGCATTCACGCGTTTGACGCGAATTCGCGTCTGCCGCCCGAGTTGAAAAATCTGAACTTCTGCGTCAATTCGCGCCGCGTTAACCAATCAGGAGCCTAGCTGCTTGCTGCTGTCACGTGGTGAAGTATCTGGATGCTTCAATAAATTATTTTGTAATATATGACTGTGGTTCTAATGCACAACAAAGCAAATATTTTATCACATAAAACTTGATTTCAATATATGAGACATATTCATTTTGTATTGAATGCTATTTAGTCCATATCTAGATTATATGAAATATTATTATAATGTAAAGACAACCAACATATAAGTTCGTGTCTGGACAGTGATGTGTGAGAGAGAGAAAAAAATCACAGGACAGATTAATCACTTTTGGAGGCTGGCTTCGTTTATTATCAAAACAAAAATAAATGACAGATTAGGTGGATGCGGGCGAGGGTGAACCTCGCGCCGGGCTGTAGAGCGCGGGCTCGACAGGCATAGACCACTCGAGGCCGAGGGCTTATACGGCCTACGCTGTCCTCGTCAGCGTCCTCACCATTAGGTCCACCAAACCTAGCTCCTGGAGCAAATTGTGAAACTCCTGAAACCCTCCGGAGGTTCTGGTGGACCCGAGTACAGCGACGATGTCCCCTACGCAGCTGTTTCTGCTCTCCAGAGCATATACGAGCGGTGACTCTCTCGAATAATGCTAATGCTAATGCTCGATAAACATCTAAAAAGATGGCCGCTAACGGGTTTCGAAACTTCCGCCTCTGACCTGACGCGCGTAAATTTCGCTTCAAACTTTTGTTGTTACGCGCGTCAATTTCGGCATTGACACGCGAATTAACACAAAGTGGTCAAGCGTCAAACTAGACGCGGTAGACGCGAATTTGACGCGCTATTCGCGTCCGGTGTGAACGCACAATTATGATTATATACAACTCACTAAATTGCATGTTAAGTGTTTTCTTTATTGGAGGAAAGGGAAAAACTAAGCATGTTGCGTTCATATATTCTAGGCTAATCTGCTATGCATTATAAAGCCATATACAGAATTTGATTTTACATGGGGACTAGGGCTGTCACTTTGTGAAAAAATCCTGTTCGATTTTTGAGACACAAGTGGTCATTGAATTGATTGTAAAATCGATTTTCCATCTAAAGACTTTTCCATTTTCAACGCCAAATATAGGCAAATCCACGGACAACTAACAGGCATTAAGACGAACGTAAAGAGGGCGCTAGAGACGCGCACAAGTCAGTAATATTTCTGATGATTAATTGGCGTGAAGTTTCGTGCACAATGACAAACAGGAGTGCAAGATTCTCGAAAAACAATAAGCAGAGTGGACTGCCATGACATCAATGAAAAGCATTACTGCAGGCTTCCACATGGCTGTGTTTACGATTAGAAATGTCAAACAAATTTCGCCTACATAGGCGATTGTAGCCCGAATCTGTATCTGTATGCATGAGACGGTCTGAATACTGGCAGAATTCACATTTTTGTTGTAAAAAGAGACACATTATGCAGAAGTATAGTTTGCTGTTATGTGTGTTCGTCAGATCGCGCGCGTTCGTATCGTGACGAGCTGGACGCGCTCCGAGAGAAGGCCGTTAAAATCGATTCCCTATTTTCGTTTTCGAAACTTGTGTTGGTTGGTCCGATCGATTGTGCAATAGATTTTCGAACATAAGTGACATCCCTAATGGGGACGTGAAAGAGGAATCAGTTTCGGAGTTCGTGCGCTATCTGAAATGCGCCTCTCTCTGTGTGTGCGCGCCTCAGGTGTGTGTGGCTGTGCGCTCAGATAACAGTGCGCGAGTGTGGAATTAAACTCTCCTTTGCCTCTTCCAGTGCTGGAATGGTTTTAAAATCTATGAATGTGTAAACTAGCAAGACAAAACACGTACAAACGATAACCTTTTGCGGTTAAACTTGCAATTGACCCTTCGCAGGGAGTTTGATTGACAGGCGATCTGACCAATCATAATCCGCCATTTTTTTGTCCGACAAAGTAGTCAGGAGAGTTAGTAGATTAACATTGGAGGATTTGAACTTGAAAAACGGAGTGTACTGACGTCTTTCCGCAGTTGAAACAACATTTCTTATGTTCATTTGATGTTATAAATGAACTAAAAGGAAGAGATGATCGGTTCACCATAACAGCTTTAACTCTACAGTGATCTGTCAGACACATTAAAGAGCCACAAAACGCTATTTATAGTTTAAAATTCTTAAAAAAATTACCAAATTTGAAAGTTGAGACTTTGTTTAATCTCA